AAAAAAAAAAAAAAAAAAAAAAAAGAGAAAAGAAAAAGTTCTGCCCCTTAGGGCTTCCTTTTCAATATTGTAATGTGTGGTTTTTTGTTTATTAATTAGAGTGGGAAACTTTTTGCCCTGTTTAACTCTTTTTCTTTAAAAATTAAAAGAAAGAGGAAAGGGTGGCCCTGCAGCATCTTTTCTGCCTGTTGGCTCTAACCACTCAACAGCTGAGAACCCTGTTACTTGGTGTCTTGTAGCTTGTACATAGGAGACTGAAGTGTATTGTGAGTAGAACCTTAAAATTCACTTTTCCTTTGCCTTGTGTTCTCTTTGTTGGAGCTCGTGTGCTGACTCCTGAGTGTATATTATTAGATGATTGCAAGTGCATACTATTCACCCCACCATTTGCTGGCTAGTGTGAACAAAATCAAGTACACTACATCATCCCAATGTGTTTTATTTTGTAGCAATATATATATTACTCTTAATTTCACTCTTATGCTTTCTAATATTATTAATACTTAGCTCATTTATGAGTGTTTCAAATGATATTACTGATTTAATGATATTTACTTTTTAAACTTTTGCTGATAAGTAGAAAATTAGGTGATCTTGTAGCATTGGCTTAAATCATTGTGTGTACATGAAATCAATTCACTTTGAAGAAAACAGTTTTTTTCCTTTTGAAACGAAGCTTCTATTTTCATACAATTGGTCATGCTTGGAGCTGCCTGGCCAGCCCCCGAGACCCAAGTTCTGTGTTGCCTTTGTCGCCTGCACAATGAGCTCAGCAGACTGCCAGGCTGCCTGTGTACAGGGCTCCGTGGCCTCCCCAGACTCAGCCCTGCAGTCTCAGAGAGAGGAGGACCTGGCCCGTGAAGGACTAAGGTGATGTGAGGGTCTTTTCTCCATCAAATCTGGCCCCAGTCACCTCATATAATATTTAGATTGTTGTTACCAGTTGGCCACATGGCTTTATTGAAGGCTGTTTTAGTATATTTAGAATTTATTTGGCATGCGTTGGGATTCTTCGAGTGTTTTAATTCCAGTACGGCGGGGAGGGAGTGTCTTGTCTCCCTCCCCGCCGTCTTGAAGTGGCGGGAATGTGTGCGTGCATATGTGTGTTTTCCTTTCTCTTAAGCCCTTGCTGGTTGATGCAGTCACTCCCCTTCTCACCCTGCCTGAATATTCCTAACTCTCCTTGGGCAGTGTTCCGATTCCATGTCGTGGGTTACTGTATTTGCTAGTGTCTGAGTTTTGCTTCTTTTTCATCTTTTAGGGCAGTGTGCAGTTGGGGCTCAGCAGTGCTAGTGGCTGCCCAGATGGAGCACCCGGGGGCCAGCCTTCTACTAGGAAAAATTGGGCGGGATTGGGGGGTAGTTCCCTGTGTGGACCTTGAAGTTGTTTGGGATGTGCTGCTGTGCATATCTGGGTTGTGCTGTGGCTTTCTTGACACCGCGGTGGCTCACGCCTATAATCCCAGCACTTTGGGAGGCCAAGGTGGGTGGATCATGAGGTCAAGAGATCGAGACCATCTGGTCAACATGGTGAAACTCCGTCTCTACTAAAAATACAAAAATTAGCTGGTCATGGTGGCTCATGCCAGTAGTCCCAGCTACTCAGGAGGCTGAGGCAGGAGAATTGCTTGAACCCAGGAGGCGGAGGTTGCGATGAGCCGAGATCGTGCCATTGCACTCCAGCCTGGGTAACAAGAGCAAAACTCCATCTCAAAAAAAGAGAAAAAAAGAATCTACTTTCTCATGAAAGAATGTGAACCGGAAAAACAAAATCTTTTAGGAACTTTGAGAAAATGATTGGGTGACAGACTTTAGTATCATGACAACATATTTCGTGTAATCATATCCTTATGCAGTGCTTTGTAAAGTTTGGGTGAAATGTGCATTCATCTCGTGGTTGAACTCATGATTAAACAGATATGGTCAAAATTTGGGTTTCGACTTTGAACTGCAGTGGCCAGTGTTATCTGCCATCCCTCTCCTATACTGATGTTTGTTTCCAAATTAGGGTGTTTAGTTTTTCTAATCACAGAAGTAGTACATATCCTCCATTAATTTTTTTAAAAAATAATCTTGAATTTACAGAGGAGATACAGGTACTGTACAGCTCTTTGTCTGAACCACCTGAGAGTAAGTTGGGACCATGAGGCCTACCTACCCTGGGATATTTTGAAATGTTTACTTACAGACAAGACACCCTTCTTCCTAACCACACCGCAGCCCTCAAGTTCAGGAAATGGACATGAAAGTGTTGCCGCCTTCTGATGAGGCATTGCATTCACATTCCACTGAAAGGATCTAGTTCAAGATCACTGCTGTGGTCAGCTCTCTTTAGTCTCCTTCAAACTGGAATGGTTCCTCTGCTTGACCTTGACACTTTTGATCATTACCGGCAGTTATTCTGTGGTGCCCGTTAGTGTGGGTTTGTTTGGTATTTCCTTTAAATTAGATCTAGGTTTTGCGCCTCTGGCTGGACCAGTACAAGGAGGATGCTGGGTTCTTCTCCGCATCCTATCGGCGGGCGGTGCGGAATTGAGTTAATCCCCTGACTGGTGATGTGCCCGTACTTGTTTGATGCAGGTTCTGCCTTCAGGCTTCTCCACTGTGAAATCTTTGTAACTGTTAAGTATATCATAGGGAGATACTTTTGAGATGAAATCAAATTTTCAGTTATCTCAATTTTAATCAGAGTTCAATTCATTTATTTATGTCAGTATTTGGTCCATGGTTTCCCTAGTTAAATTCAGTTGATTCTCACCCTTTTACTGTTATTTTACTTGATGCTCATTGTCCCAGGTTTCTTCCATGAGAGCCCCTCAAGCTCGAGCTCGCGCTCCCGTGTCCTTTTTTTTTTTTTTTTTGCGGTGTTCGCACTTCTTTCCTCTTTTGTCCGGGCTGGAGTGCAGTGGTGTGATCTCGGTTCATTGTAACCTCCACCTCCCAGATTCAAGCGATTCTCGTGCCTCAGCCTCCTGAGCAGCTGAGATTACAGGTATGCACCACCATATCTGGCTAATTTTTTGTATTTTTAGTAGAAGCAGAGACAGGGTTTCACCACAGTGCCCAGGCTGGTGTCGAACTCCTGAGCTCAGGCAGGCCGACCGCTTCGGCCTCCTAGAGTGCTAGGATTACAGGCATGAGCCACCTCGCCCAGCATTTTGTTTGTTTGTTTGTTTGTTTGTTTTGAAACAGGTTCTCACTCTATTCAGGCCGCAGTGCAGTGGCGAGCTCTCGCCTCACTGCAACCTCCACCTCCTGGGTTCAAGTGATTCTCCGGCCTCAGCCTCCCAAGTAACTCAGACTACAGGTGTGTGCCACCACGCCCAGCTAATTTTTGTATTTTTAGGAGAGACGAGGTTTCACCATGTTGGCCGGGCTGTTCTTGAACTCCTGACCTCAAGTGATTCGCCTGCCTCAGTCTCCCAAAGTTCTGGGATTACAGTCTATGTGTCCTTCCGATATGTCCTCATTCTCTTCCTTGCTTTGTGGTACTACAGGGAATCCTGAGCTCTTCATGTACCTTCCCTGCCCCAGGCCTTTTCTTTCTGCTGTTTCTTCAAGAAGGCCTGCTTCCCTTTTCTGGCAGTTGGTTCTCAGAGAAACAGGGTCTGGGCACCAGCTAAATTGTTGGAGAGTTACTATACCCCAGGTCCTCTCAGTCGACAGAGCTGCAGAGTGCGTGTATACATACATATATAAAACATACACATATATACATGCATTTGTATTTTTAACACACTGTCTCACTTTTTAATATCTCCATATATTGAAAAACATGAGTTTATTCTAGTTCCCCCATTTCCAACGTAATGCCACAGGGTTTATTCTAGTTTCTCACTTTCCAAGTGGATGACTCCCTTTCCCAACAGTGATGATCCTAGACTGTGTCTCTAACACGTTCACTTCCTTAGTTATTCACCCTATATGGAACGAGGCTCCTCTTGTTGACCTTCCTGCCCAGATGCCTGCTGCTGTCTCATCTCACTCACCTGCTGTCATGAACATCTTCCTCACTCCACTTGGGCTCTGATACCCTAGCTACATAGATATTCTCTTACGTGGAAGCCCATATCCCCAGTTTCAAAAAAAAAAAAAAAAAAAAATCCAGGTCCTATACGCTCTATTTTTGCACCTTTTTCATTTTCATGTAATATGCAGTAGTCTGTACTTTTTCCAGACGGATACACAAGCCGAGCTGTTGGATTCTTGTTAGTGACAGCGCGTTACTGCCTGGTGTCAGTGTCCCACTTAGTATTACCTCCTTCTTGCAGACGCGCACTTGTGTTCTTCCCAGTTCTTTGCCTGTAGCATGCTGTTGTGAGCCTTAGCTTTTACAGCTGTGCTTCTGTATTCTTTTGCAGGCACTTCTGGAGAGTCGCATTTTTGAAGTGTGATTGCTGAATTAGGATTGTATGTTTCTAGTTCTTATGTGTTTTTAAATTGCCTTCTAATTTTACACTTCCTTGATGGTTGAATAGTCCTTTCTTTCCCCCTTACCGTTATAAAAACTTCATGAGCACTTTTGCTCATCTTTGCTGATCTCATAAAGGGTGCATGAAAATAAACATCTATTCATGTGTTTGTGGGCAATTTTATATTAATTTTCTATGATTTGTGTGTTCATATGTTCTAACCTATTCAGATGTTTTCCAAACATTGAAAAACTCTATTTGTATCTTGAGTTCTGTATTAGTGTTCTATAAAATTCTTATGCTCTGATAGGGTCAAATAAATCAATATCTTCCTTAGTGGTATCTACAGTGTATATTGTTGCAGGCTTTTTGCACCCCCAACTCACAGGTTTTCCCCCTTAATCTTCCAGCTCTTCAAGGCTTGATTGTTTACATCTAGATCTTCAATCTTGTTGAAATTTACTTTAGAGTATGTTGTGAGGTAGGGATCAAACTTTATATGTTTTCAAAAGGGGGATAGCAAATTGGCCCAATTCCTTGCTGATTTGAAATGGCACTTGTATCAAATAATAAACTCGTAGGTACATGTGAGTCTGTTTCATGCATAAAGTGCCTCTTCCTTAGCCAGTTACACCAAATGCTAACCATGGCTTTGTAGTATGCTTTGCTAATTTTAGTTAAATTCCACTTTTTTTTTTTTTTTTTTTTGCAAAATTTCCTAGCCTGGTTTTATTTTTAGGTGAATTTGGGAATCCTTGTTACAGTTTTAAAAAAAACATCCTACTGGGATGTTGTGTTAGTCTCCCAGGGGTGCCGTAACAAAGTACCACACGTTTGGTGGCTAACAAAGGAAATGTATTCTCTCTCAGTTCTGGGGGCAGAAAATCTGAAATCTGACAGGGCCACACTTCCCTGGGGTGTAGGAGAGAGACTATTCTTTGTCTCTTCCATCTCCCAGCAGCTGTCCCACAGTACTTGGCTTGTAGCCGTGTGGCTCCCACCCCTGCCTCCCTCTTCAGGTGACTTTCTCGTCTGTCTGTCACGGTGGCATTTAGATCCACCCAGATAATCCAGAGTCATCTCCTCATTTTAGTATCTTTCATTTAATCTCATCTGAAAACACCCTTTTTCCAAATAAAGTAAAACTTAACAGATTTCAGGGATTGGGACTCCTGTCTTAGGTGGACATTTTTCAGCTTGTCACAGATGTTATTTGGAGTTTGATTGGGGACTTAGATGAACTTGGAAGAGAACAGACAGCTTTTGTGATGAATCTCCTGGCTGAATCTTGGCATCATCTCCATGGTTCAGGCTTCTCGTATGTGTGTGTGTCAAATTTTTGTTTTGCCAACTTGCCCAAACTTGCCTTCACTGTTACTAGGGCTTCACTCTAGTAGAGGGATCGTCCGAACAGGTGATCTGCAAACAGTGGTATTTGTCTCCTTGCTTAATCCTGTCTCTGTAGATGGCCGGTTGGACAGTCTTTGACAATAGTAACATCTTTGTCATTTTGTTACTTATTTTAATATTACAGTATTAGCTTTTTAGTAAATATATGTTACTTTGGGGAAATATTGTTCATATAGCCATTTGCTGATGTTAAACTCAGCAAATATAAGCTGAATTTTATCAGTTTTTTGGGGGCTTTTTTTTTTTTTTTTTTTTTTTTTTGGGGGTGTTTTCCCTTTCCCCCCGGCCCCGGGGGGAGTGGGGTGATATTGGCTCATTGCAACCTCTGCCTCCCAGGATCAAACGATTCTCCTGCCTCAGCCTCCACAGTAGCTGGAATTACAGGCACGCACCACCACACCAAGCTAATTTTTATAATTTTAGTAGAGATGGGTTTTCACGATGTTGGTCAGGCTGGTCTCAAACACCTGACCTTGTGATCCACCGGACTCAGCCTCCCAAAGTGCTGGGATTACAGGCGTGAGCCACCGTGCTCGGCTGCTTTTTGGGCATTTTTGAAATGGTTGTCTGTCAGCCAGGTATATGTTTATTTGCCCTCCTTTTTTTTAAGACGGAGTTTCGCTCTGACGCCCAGGCTGGAGTGTAATGGCATGATCTCAGCTCAGTGCAACCTCTGACTCTCGGGTTCAAGTGATTCTTCTGCCTCAGCCTCCCAAGAATCTGGGATTACAGGCACCCACCACCATGCCTGGCTAATTTTGTGTATTTTTAGTAGAGACAGGGTTTCACCATGTTGGCCAGGCTAATCTTGAACTCCTGACCTCAGGTTATCCACCTGCCTCGGCCTCCAAAAATGCTGGGACTACAGGCGTGAGCCACCGCTTCCAGCCTGTTTGTCCTCCTTTTAGCCATAAGTATGTGTTTTCTAGTTTTAAAACTGTATTCCTAGGACAGACCAGTCTTAGTGTTGATGTCAAATTTAGTGATCAATTTATTGGGCTAGTGTTTTGTTTGAAAATTTATGTTTTTAAATGTTAAAAAATGTTTTCCAGCCTGGGCAACATAGCAAGCAAGACCTGTCTCTAGGAGAAAAAATTAGCTGGGCATGGTGGTGTACACCTGTAGTCACAGTGCCTTAGGAGTCTGAGGCGGAAAGGATTGCTTGAGCCCAGGAGTTGAAGGCTGCGGTGAGCTATCTTGCACCACTGTACTCCAGCCTGGGCAACAGAGTGAGACTCTGTCTCAAATAAATACATAATAAAATAGAAATGTACATGTTTGTAAAATAATCTATAATTAGTCTCTGCAACATCTACTCATTGTTTTGGGAAGACTAAACAATGCCCAGAGTTTCCTTTGGGGAAACACTCTTTCTACCATGTATAAGCGATGTGTTTTAGATAGACTGGGTCAGCTGCTTGGGTGGACCTGGCTGGCTGTGGCTCATAGACATATGAGTGGCCCCTTGATTATGGTTATTGGTCCCTCATGGGATCAGAACCCAGTTAATGCCAGTGTGATACAAATCGTGGGGACCCGTGAGACAAAGATGCTCTCCTTTCCTTGGGAGCTACCAGAAGATAGAATTACTGCCATTTATAACACTTCTTATTTCAAAACCAGGCAAAATAATATTGTATCACTGTAATCTTGAGTGTGTGTTCTTTTGTTTTGTCAGACTAGTGAGAATTAATTGCTCTTCAATTGCTTTTTTCAAAGAAACTGATTTTTGTTTTGATTGACCAAGTAGCTATGTTTCTGTTTTTGTTTTTTTGAGGCAGGGTCTTCTCTGTCACCTAGGCTGGAGTGCAGTGGTGCAACCATGGCTCACTGCAGGCTCAGCCTCCTGGACTCAGGTGATCCTCCAGCCCCAGCCTCCCAAGTAGCTGGGACCACAGGCGTGTGCCACCATGCCAGGCTAATTTTTTGTAGAGATGAGGTTTCTCTGTGTTGCCCAGGCTGGTCTTGAACTCCTGGACTCGGACGATCTGCCTGCCTAAGCCTCCCAAAGTGCTGTGGTTACAGGTGTGAGTCACTGCACTTGGCCTATTTGGTTTTTTGTTTGTTTCATTTTTTGTTTCTTTGGAGGCAGGGTCTCAGTCTGTCACCCAGGCTGGAGTTCAGTGGTTCAGTCATGGCTCACTTCGGGCTCAACCTCCTCTAATCACGCGATCTTTCTACCCCCAGCCTCCCAAGTAGCTTGGACTACAGGCACGTGCCACCCAGGCTAGGAGTGCAGTGGCTTGATCATAACTCACTGTAAACTTGAACTCTTGGACTCAAGGGATCCTCCTGCCTCAGCCTGTTAGTAGTTGGGACTACAGGTGCATGCTATCATGTATGACTTTTCTTTTTTTTTGTGGAGTTGGGGTCTTGTTCTATTGCCCATGCTAGTCTCAAACACCTGGGCTTAAGTGATCCCAGAGTGCTGAGATTACATGTGTGAGACACTGCATCTGGTCTTACATTTCATCAGTTCTTTTATTTATTTCTTCTAGTTTGGTTTTCACTTTGCATCTTGACTTGAATGGTTGTCATTTATCTTCATTAATAAAGTTTACAAGTTTGATTCACCCTCTGAGTGTAGCTTTAGCAGCGTTCTCTAGACGTTGAGAAGCGGTGCTCTTTTTCTTTTCTTTTTTTCTTTCCAAGACGGGGTCTTGCGCCAGGCTGAGTGCAGTGGTGCAGCTCACTACAGCCTTCACCTCCCCGCACTCAAGGGATCTTCCAGCCTCAGCCTCCCTGGTAGCTGGAGCCACAGGTGTACACCACCACACCTGGCTAATTTTTTGTTTCCTGTTTTTATTTTTCTACAGGCAGTCTCACCATATTGGCCGGGTTTCTTTTCTTCTTTTTAAACCTTGTTAGGAAAACTTGGAAACATACCACGAAATAGAAGAGATCACATGCCTATCACCCAGCCTTCACCGTGGGCAGT